GAATCATCTTCTAATTTAATCTATCGCGACCTGCTGTTAGATATGTTATAGTAAAAGTATTAAATGACCAGCCAATGTATAATCGGATGTAAAGACACACCTCTAATCCCTCAATCTTGACAGACTGTGACAGCAAATCCAGTCACCTCGGTCTTCTTCCGTCTCTCGGTATTGTTTTGCACTTGCAATAGTCAGGGCTCCAGGAGCAGGAGTTCACCCCTCCTCTGAGACCAAAGCAAGAGTGGATGCCTCCTAGTTCTCCGCGGTATCCTCAAGGTCCGGGACGTGCCTGGCACAGGGGTTTTGTTCTTGTTCCGTCCACCACGGCGAAGGCTTCCCTCTGCACGTATCACTGTGTTCTCTGTTGGCCACGCCCCTGCGTCCTGCTGCGTTCAGGACGGTCGGAAATAGAAAAATAAATCGGAAATGAGTGTTTAGCGGTAAGGAAGAAAAGACTTCTGACAGGTCTCAATTAGATCTGGCAAACAAATAAAAACAGCGTAAGTAGCAATAGTTAAAATTATTATCGTACAGCCAGGCCGCAAAAAAGCAAAATTGTGTACTTTCACAGGAGCATTTGACAGTACCACGAGCAGAATCGTTTGTACCGTCCGTCCTCCAAAGTGGCAGTCCAAGCAATTGTTGCCTAGCTAAACAGGCCACGTGGGGCAACACGGAGGTTCGTCGGAAACTTTACGACCGCACTTACATGCCATTTAATAGCTATCGTGCAGGTGACAAGCCAAACATCCTTGCAAATATTTACTTGTATAACAGGGCTCCAAAATGGCTTTAGCTACCTTAACACTGGGTTGGGAGTACGTTCTTTACGTAGCTTGCCATCACCTGTGTGTGAATGGGTGGATGATTGTGTATAGTGTAAAGCGCTTTGGGGTCCTTAGGACCAAGTAAAGAGGCTATAGAAATAGAGACCATTTACCATTCTTTAGCTCTTATTAAAAATATTAGCAGTGCCTTATCCGTCCAGGGCTTCAGTGATAACTACAAATATAATTATGTGCTCGAAGAAAGTTATTAGTATTAGTAGTAGTGAAACTACATCATCAATGGTATAACGTGAATAAGAACATGGTGTTTCCCGTCATATAAATAGATATGTGTCTGACGTGTGGTATCACGGTAGCGTGGCCGAGTGGTCTAAGGCGCTGGATTTAGGCTCCAGTCATTTCGATGGCGTGGGTTCGAATCCCACCGCTGCCAGAACTTTTTCTTGCCTTCTTCACCACGACAAGTATTGACATATCGAATATGCTTTTTCTTTTTTGGTTATAAAAACCAGATACCAGAATTGATTTCCACTTTTTTGTTGTTGCTTATAGTCATAAAAACTCGAGGTCTGATATTGTAGTGCCATCTTGTGGCCAAAAACAAGCTTTGAGAATTTTGGAGGACACCTTAAAACAGACAGTCACCCACCACCAGGACATTTGAAGGGTTTTTTTTATTATTATTTCTTTAATTTCTGATGATTTGGGGCCTTTTCTGCACCACTTTATGATGATGGAAACACCTGTGAGTAAATAAGAACATACAAATGAGGTGACAAATGCTTCTTAGAAGCTTCTTTCATGTTTTTATTATTGCTTTTATTTACATTTGAAAAAAATAAAGAAAGTAAGCGGTAATAAAAGTTGCCAAAATTGTTGACAGATTTCTAAAGTTTGCTAAAGTTTAAGCAGGGTACAGAAATATGGGCCATTTTCCAACAGAGTCCTCAATATTATATTCATTAAAATAATATAAAGAATGTATATTAATGATTAATATAAATTCTTACAGAGAGCTGCACAGTTAAAATGGACGAAGGTCTTCATCATCTGTGCCCTTTGTTGTATTTGCACACATCTCTTTAATAAAAGATAAATCATAAGGGCGCAAAATAAAATTCAAGACACTGTGCTTAATTACATTTAACAGATTCACATGCTTGTAGTAGTGTTTGTCCCATTTTTCACAGTCTACATTACTCTGTAATCATTCTAAGATTAGGTTTCATCCTGACTTGGGTTTCACTGGGCCCTGCTATTTTCCATCACATGCTGAGAAACCACAAACTGCATTTTCTGGATGGCCAGCTGAGTGTCTTCAGGAGAAATCCCAAGATGCCACACGGCCCTGACAGAGTTCCCAAAATGAGGGTACATGAGAACCTGTATCCCCTGCCCGAGTGCAGCCTCCTCACTCTCGCTAACCTGAGCCATGCGGTCACAGAACTCGCTGGGACTCAAACTGAGATCCTGCAGGCCGAAACGCAGGATATTTGTCTCCACGGCAGCCAAGTCAACAGCGAACAAGTTAGGATTGCAGTCAAGAAGAGCTGAGCGTGGAGAAGAAACAAGCTAATTACACAAAGGAATAAAGCGGGAGCCAGTAAAGTATTTAATTTTCATTGAAAGGTATTCATGTAAAATCAGTCAAATTCCAGTAATTCAAGCCTCTAGAACTCAGAAAACATTCACTATATAAAGGTAAGATTTTGCATGGCTTCATTAAACATACTAAAGTTATTGCATAAAAAAACAGCAGATCCTGAGGAAGTCACGTGGATTGAATTTTCATGGAATAACCAGGTAGTTACTCACCTTGAGCAAAGATTTTTGCATTGCCTTGATCCTCCTCCAGTCTTCCAATCATATTCTGTAAGGAGAGTTTTCCAGCTGCTGCCAGTATGCCAGCCTGCCGCATTCCCCCACCGAGTGCTTTGCGACACCGCACCGCTCTGGATATGAAGTCCTTGGGTCCAGCCAGCACGGTACCAACTGGGGCGCCCAAACCCTGATACACACCCAGGATTTTGATTGTTACATTAATCCAGTTTCACCTTTGGTTAAGATGAATCTTGACTTCTTTGTGTGTGTGTGTGTTTATATCCCTCAAACCCACCTTGGAGAGGCACACACTAACAGTGTCTGTGTGCTGCAGTATGGCAGATGGAGGCACTCCCTGAGCTACAGCGGCGTTCATTACCCGGGCTCCGTCCATGTGAACGGACAGACCATTTCGATCTGCTAAAGCACGCACCTTAAACATGGAAACAAACCATCCAAACATGATCGCATCACATCATTAAATTTTAATAAGGCACGAATCACTATTGCTTTTGCATCAAAATGTGGCAATCAGCATGACTCTGTAAATAATACATTTCAATGGGAAGTCTTCCTGCCGGAGACTACGAGTCTACAACAAAGTCTCCGGGGATACATCCCCATGGCAACCAAGAAAAGCTATCTTTAATAATAATTGAAGAAATTTAATTAACAATGTATTTCAAATGATAACCAAATGTATATGACCCAAACTGTGGTCTCTGCTGCGAGCAGTGAAATGATTCTCGCCACCGTACGTCCGTTCTACTTTGGCTAACACGCTGTACTGAACAGGGAGCACAAGGAGAGAACATATTTCTCCAATATTAGCTTTTCTGTTCTGTTAAATACAGAATTTCATTCAAAATCTTTCCCTTTAAACACAAAGTTCACCCCATCATAGCCTTAAGACCTCACAGTATCTTATCATCCCAGTGGAGCACTTTAGTTTCGACCTACAGGGTTTCTTGAAGTTCTTGGAGGCTGTAAAAGCCTCTCCTGAGGTACCAGCTCCTGCTTTGGGTTCAGGTGACAGACACCCTTTCTGTTTTTAAGATTAAACTTAAAACTTTCCTTTTTTAAAAAGGCTTATAGTTGGGTCTGGATCAGGTGACCCTGAACCATCAGTTAAGGAGCTACTTTCCTTGTGATCTCAGGCAGCACTGTGTTAAAATCAGGCATGAGTCACTGAAAGCACTGCATGGGCTCAGGAACATTTCTAGAAATCACTGCCTATGAACGTTGTGCCGTCCACAAATGCAGGTCAAAACTCTATCGAAGAAGCCATATGGACACATAATCCAGAAACACTGACATCTTCTCTGAGACAAAGCTTGCTTAAATTGGACTGATGCAAAGTGGATCTGGGGTCAGACTAATCAAAGTGAAAGCCATGCACACACACCTCCTGCAGAAAAGCCAGAGGTAGCACACGTCCCCCTTGAATGTTGTGCGTGTTTTCCACACATACGAGCCGTGATCGTGGGTAATGGGGGTCTGGGTAACCGTGGCGTATCTTTGACTCCAGCTGCTCCAGGTCAAACGTCCCATCGGGGAGCGTGGTCACCGTGGTGGAGTGCACGCCAGCCAGCTGTATCAACACAACAAATACACACACACACACTCTTGTCTAGTTACAAAAAAAACCCATCATGGATGAAGCTGCTGCGGCACACTCACCTGAGCGCTACCTCCTTGCTCGTAGATGTGTAAATGGGACAAGTCCCCCACGATTACCTCGTCGCCCCGCTCCCTGCAGTGCACCATCACTGTTGGATGAAATGCAGGCATGTTTGCGACCATCCAGGACTAGTTAAGACTAATTCACACACTGCCAGGTGAAAGCGAAACTGACCTGCAATGAGATTACTCATCGTTCCAGAGGGGACGAACAGGGCGGCCTCCATCCCGAACATATCCGCTGCAATTTTCTGTAACGCTTTAGGTTTGAGCAGCATTTCACATACAAAAATGCAAAGACTTTAGAAGACTGCAGTGCAGTAAACCATTTCTCTAGGCATGGTTCAAAGGACAGAGAGGATTTTGTCATATAGACTGCAGAGTCAGCATAAAGACCTTTGTTTTACTTGGAGAGAGTTTTGTCTGCATGATAGTTGATTTAAGTGACTTTGAACGTGGCACAGCTGTTGGTGGCAGACAGGCTGAAACTGCTGACCTGGTGAGATTTTCTTACACAATGATCTCTAGAGTTTACAGAGAGTTGTCTGAAAAAGAGAAAATGTCCAGTGAGCAGCGGTTCTCTGACTGAAAATGCATTGTTGATGTCAGAG